ATTTTTCAAGTGACGCGTACCAATAATTTCTGTTCACAGACTTCCGTGAATTTATGTGCTCTCTTTCGGTGTCAACCCGAGGAACGATGGAGCAAAAACTTCGTTGGGCGTTCAGTATTTACGACGTGAATGGAGATGGGTATATAACGAAACAGGAAATGTTCCGAATCGTGGACGCATTATACAAAACGATGGGTGATAATCCGGAAGAAACCGAAGGCATTCCGAACTGGGACGAACTTACTCCTGAAGAGCGCACACTTAAAGTTTTCCATAACTTTGATCAGAACAAAGACGGTGTTTTATCATTGTCGGAATTCATCGAGGGAGCCATGCGTGATAAAACCCTGGCGCTTATTTTGGAACAAGGAGCAGAGAAGACATGAGAGGGTGGCTGTTAAACAGATGTTTTTAAGAACAGGAGAAGCAACTCATTGCCTAACCCAGGTTGCTATCAGATACTCTGTCTAACATTATATTCGAATATGGGTAGTTTGAAGTGCGTGTTCATAGTTTAAAGAACCTACACGTAGTTTTTCATGTAGTTTGGCACCGAGGATTTAATATTTCCTTCTAAACCTTCCTCTTGGTGCCGGCCACTACGGCGCTCAACATTATGTGAGCCAGCAGTGATGTCTTTATGTCGGAGAGGAATTAATTGCTAATGAAGAGGGGATAGTCTTTTACGAGGGTGGCAAAGGGTTTTTAAGTGATTTGTGATTACGACCAAAGCTTTTTGACGCGTGAATTTTACCAAAAGGCGAGGGTGATTTGTGAATTTATGAATTAGAGTGAGGCGTGATTTGCTTACTGAAATATACGTGACCGGTGAATTATTTCTTTCGGTTCGTGTAAACCTCAGAAAAGATATTTAAATTTTTCCCTTTTAAATTCGCGACGCTAGTGTACGTGATGCGTTATAAAAAATTCGTGCGTGAAATGGGATCATGACCCCTCCTTTGCTTCCCCCTATCGTGGTTGATCTGTTATTTTTGTGTGAATTATTCACTTTGTGTCCAAAGCAAATTAAGCTCGAAATGGTCTGTCTTTGCAGTAAGAAAAAAAAAAACTTTGTATTTAGTTTTGTACGATGCACCAATGATGTCAAATTTACCATAGCTTGTGAGACTAACTTATCATAAACGTATTCAGCAAGGAGACTTTGCTTCTCCATCGAAGCTTTTCATCTAAAGAAGCATTATGTTCCAGGATATCTCTGCCATTGAACACTGAATGTAAAGTTTGAAAAACTGTCCTCAAACGTGCTTAAACTCACATTGTGCGGGCCGCCATTTTTATCTTGCATAGCAACCTGGCCGCTAACTTTTGAAGCCTCGCTGCTGCTCAAGTTATAAAAGACCACATTATTTGAGTTCAATGACTTTTGTGTAGCTCCTATTTATCCGGATAGGCACCTTAAGAAAGAAAAGAGAAAGGAGAAAAATACAAAACCAAACAAACAAAACAAAACAAAAAAAAACAACAACAAAAAAGAGAGAGCCACACAATTTTAAGGCCAGGTTGCTAAGCGTAATCGTTAGGCAGCTTTCGAAATCTGGGTTCACTTTTTGTAACTCGAAGTGTCATTTGTTAACTTATCTGAAATGTCGGAAATGACGAATAGGGAAGTGATCTCATCTCGTGTTCTGCTTCATATTTTTATCATTGAACTTCGAGTGCATTGCCTGTGCGTTGTCCAACCAAACCCTTAGCGACTACAATAACCAATCAGAACAAAGGTATGTGTCAAAGGGGGTCAATGGAGACTCGACATAAACCCAAGGAAACTGTAGCGGTTGATTTGCATATAATTGGTCAGGAAAATATCGCGACTTAACTAAGCCAATCACGGAGCGAGATATTGCAAAACGAATTCACTCCAAAATCTCTTCCGACACTCAATTTGAAATTCCTCTGACATTGACCAGTCTAATTCAAAACATAACTTCATTGTTAAATATAATTCCAAATGTTTGCGATGGTAATACAGTTGAATATTCCTCGCATGACTGTACGGTGAAAATGAGATCATGCAAAAAATTTAAATGTTTTCAAACGTTATTTCTCATGAAAAATATCCACTCTGAGATGCTAGTGCTGCAGTTTACGGAAAAGAGTTGTTGTTGTTAACCACGTTGATGTCGAGTAGCATTCAATAATAACGTTGTCTATTTTTCTTTTTTTTGGCTAACACCCATCACTTCTGGGCCAAGTCGCACAGTCCCACAGGCTTAGGTTATAAGGTTCTCTGAAGAGTGAAGATTAAGGGTACGAATCAAAAGGCCAAGTATGAATCAAATTTTTGAATTCGTGGCAAAAACACAAAAATTCAAATTGTCGGACATCTTTCTTTCGGGTTCACAAGTGAGAATTTGATCACACACGTCCCACCTTCCATCCGCCATTCAGATGTATGTATCTCCTTTGAACTTTCGCCGATTTTTCCAATTTTGTTGCAACGACGCGAAAAAAAAAGGGACTTCAAAATAGTGCATATCTATTTCCTGAGCGTTATTCACCATAGTTAACAGTACTTCTGTTCACACAATGCAAGTTTCGTCTGCGGTGCCCGTCACAATTCTCCTTGAACGTAATCATGGTGCATACCAACATGTTCAAATTTGCCATGCCTTAAAATACCCATCAGGAGCAGACAGAGCGCTCTCTCTTCGATTAAGTGTCGTAAAACCAAAACCAAACTTATCAAAACGGTCAATCAGAGGAAGGGAAAATACCTTTAATCGCCAAAGAGAACTCAAAGTGAAATCAACCTGACTGTATAAAGCGCGCGGGAAAAAGCGTTTTGCGTCTGATTGGTTGAGAGAGAGGCGCGAGTTTTCTGGAGCAATAACTAAGCGAAGTAAAGCAAAACAAGAGAAATCTTGGATTACTTTTAGCATTCAATTGAAAATCGCACTAAAATATTAGGTTAAAACATAGAGCAGACAACAGAGTTACGGACACAAAGTAACAATATAATCAATTTTATTGAGATGGCTTATCTACAAAATTTTAAGGGAGGAGAGGAACAAAAGAATTTACAATGAAAGGCAAAAAGTACAAAAAACCAAACAAACAAAGAAATTAAAGGCAGAAAAGAGACAAATTTTCTTCAGAGGTAGTCATGAGGCTGGGTTGTCAATTTTTAAGTAACTTCACCAGTGACCGACTGGTTATGAAATTTAGTCGTATTTCAAAAAATTATTTGTAATTACAAAAACATTTAACAGCAATAGAGAAATGTCAAAGAGAAACATGGATAATAAAAATGCATGATTCAAGAATGTGGCATTTGGATATGTTAGCATCACTGTTAAACCCAAGGAATTGGGAACAACAGAAACATTTTTTTCACGTTGTAATGGTGATGAAAAGAAAAAGCCAGTTAGATGTGGAAAAAACTGCACTGTAAGCACCAAAAGTTGTATCATTTTAGGATTTCCTGGAATGCATACATTTCCTTATCTCTGGATTGATTTTCCTTGACAAAGTAGGTTGAACATTTAACAAGTTCCTAGTTTTTTTACCCTGACAGTGAAAAGTCATTCTTGGCCACCAGGTATCATATTTTCCGTCATGTGGCTATAAATTTTGCTAACAATATAATCTGACAGACTACTAACCCAAAGATGAAAAGATTTCCCGATAAAACATGACCTAACTAGCCCCTTGAAAATAAGAAGGAGAATAAATAGGAGGAGGGAATGGGCAGAAGGCCAGAAATAGATTTCCAAAACAATTTGAAATACCATGCCTTGCATGAAAGCTATCCATCCATTGGACAGCATACACTGGTACCATCTGCTACACCAAACCACCAATGTCATTTTCAAACCAAAAAAAAAAAAGAAATGAAGTTGACTGCAGCACAGTGTGACTGGGATACCCTTCATTAGCTGGTGGTGTCCTTTATAAGGCTCCCTTTGGCTTGAATCCAAAAGCAAGTTTCTGCCTGTTGTTTCTGTTTTTGTTTAGAATTAGGTCTTGGGCAGCCTTTTCTTGCTTCTTGATCTCTCGTTCCAAAGACATTTTCTGTTCAGTTAATGTTCTTCTTTCTTCCACCATTTGTAAACGTTCTTCTGCCTGTTTGTCCAAGGGAAAAAAAAAGCCAAAATAATCAGAAGGAGGTCACAAATTAGGGAACTTACTCCTCTCTTACCTGCTTCATAAGGAAAGAAGATACTTTCCAAACAGGAGGAACTCAATCAAGATAGGAATTTGTTTTCTTGTCTCAGAGAAAAACTCTTTGTGAATTGTACTAATCATTACTTTTCACTAAAACAATGGAGATCTCCATGAAGACACCTTCATGTTTATGGTTGAGTCTTTCTTGCAACTTTCTCCATGTCCCAAATACTATGCAACAGAGACTGCACATGAACAGTAGTGTTTAACAGGTATGATTCATTTTATTCAAGGTAACAAAACCCCCACTGGTATCAGCTTAACCACCTCTTTCCTAAGGAACTCTTTCAGAAAATTACAGGGATGTTTCTAACCCAGTAAGTTTATTCACCCCTATGCTGTTGGTCACCTCGATGCTGGAGCTATAGCCACAATCATGACTTTGCAAGAACATCTGTACCATGCAGCAAAGGGACAGATCATACTGAGGTAAAATCTGTCATGTTGAAAAAGAGTCCATGACCTATAATTTCAGTTAACTTTCCATAGTAGTTTTAGACATTTAAGTTTGTCAAAAAAAATAAGACTATGGGGTTGAATATTGGCACGTCTGCACCATTTTCAAAATGACAGCTTTTACAGAAGAGGTTGAACACAGAGATCAGTAAAAAACAAACCAAACTTGACGACTGTTGCAAGATTAGTTCTTCCTGCAGTGTGATGAAATAGAAGTAAAATTTCTTTTAGTTTCTGGTGACTACTGACAGCTAAAGCAAACAAGACAGAACTGGTTTAATACTTGTAACGAATTCACCTCACATTACATGAAGGTAATCACATTTAAAACCCCATTGTTATGACATAAACCTTTGGAAAAAAGACATGTGTGTAAGGAGAGATCTAAAGATGGTTGAAGCTCTCAAGTAGACATACAGTGGAAATTAACACAAACCAAAACTATCCCTTCCATGCCCTACCATGCTATATGTAAACAGGAAAAGGATAGTACAAGTTACCCACCAAAAAAAATCCTTCAACACTGGCATCAGTGTAGTGAATCATAAAAAAAAATATACATACCAACTTTTGATTCGCTTCAGTTAGTCTTAATTGGAGTTCATCAACTTTGCTCTCTAGCAGAGTAATTTTACGACGTTCCTCCTCCTAAAAAAAATGCAGTTCACTGTCAACAATTGGTTTGCATAAATATCTTTTCTTTTATCGATAACATTGTACCAAAATGAACCAAATACACTGTACGTACCCCAGAATCCTAGGTTATAAATTGTGAATGAACAATGTTAACATGAACAAGAAATGGCACCAAAAATCAAGAAGTCAACCCTTCATGCCCCAACATCGGTATTGATATCTTTAAAATTCCTATGGTACAAACAGAGAGAATTTGTGTAACAATCAGGAGCTTCTTCACTCCTTAAATTTATGATCATTTCCTTCATTCTCATAACCTTAACTTTTGATTCAAGGGTGATATTGTAAAGAGAAATTAGAAGCCAATCACTGCTTGGGGTTGAAGGGTTAGACTTGCAAAGGAAGGGAAAACTGATCAGCATGGAATATAGAAATACTTCCCCACTAGAAGAAGTGCTCCAAGATATAACATTTAAGGCCACAACCAGAGAGGAAAACAGGCAGATAAGCACAATTTTTGGTACCTTTCCTTCCTCTTACAGCTACACCCTAATACTATAAACAAGTATACAACACATGTATCATATACACGAACAAAAATCTTTTGATCAGAGGAAAATGCACAGCTCATTTTGTTTAAACACAAATAGAAACAAACCTTGTATGTATGTGAACTTAGAAACTTATGCTTAAAACTGCTTTGTGAATCACATGAATGGCCGTTTTGTACCATTTATACATACACATATCCGCCTAACAATTCCTATGAAATGCTCCAAGCAAAGTCTCCTTGAGGAAATCCTTCACAGTCTGCAAAGACTTGAACTCTCCCAGAAAAAGTTTCAAATTAGTGCTGGCACAAAGTGGAATGTTCCTTCAAGAAGTGCCCTAAATAATTTTTTTCCACTAGGCAAAAGTTTCTAGGCAAACAGCAATTTTAAAAATTGCGCAGTTCTTGAGTAATTGCAGTCTTTTGTGAATGTCTAGATTGAATGTCATGTTCAAGGATAGAACGGCACAAGAGAAGGGTAGGATTAGATCCAAATGCTTGAAAAGACTGACTGCTAGCTCTTGATAATGTTTTCCTGTTCAACTGATCCGTCAAAGGTATCTGTGGAAACAATCTAAGTGTTTGCAGAAAAACCACACAGTTTTACAAGCAATTATGAGAATTCTGGACAACAACATGTAACCTTGAAAGGATACAACTGGAGCTTGTCCTAGAAACAAGAAAGACCACTTGCATGTTTTCTTAGTTTTTAACCCTCTTCCCTCAATTTAGAAACATGATACGTATACACAATAAATTATAGGGTATTTAATACTGTACCTCTTTCACTTGTTGTTCTTCGATTTGCTCCTGACGCCTTTTTTCAAATTCTTCCACCATCTGCTTCTCCATCACTCTTTTAGCTTCCTCTACTCTCTTCATGACTTCAGCATCAATTTCATCTTTTCTTTTTGCAAGTTCTTCCTCCACTCTCTTAGCAACAAGATCTTCAACTCGTTTTTGAGTTTCTTCCTCAATCATCATCTTTTCTTTCTCAGTGGCTCGACTACAAAATAATAATTAAAAAAACAGCTCTTCCTTTAGCATCATGATGTACATTTTCATCTTAGGTGAAACTGATTTAAATAATGACAATAATCCTACAAATTAGTTCTCTTTACCCCTTTTACTCTCAAGATCTAATTAGTAATTCTCTGTACTGTCTACCATTGATTCTGGTGGCATAAATTTAGAGAATTTGGTATTGGATCAACTAAGAATTCCCTAATTGATACTTCTCTTTATTCTCATTACTTGTCTTTTTTAAATTTGTCAAAATTACTGGCTTTTATTTTATACTAAAGTAACATTTAATCCTTCAACTCATGTGAATGATGCAAACTTCATAACTCATTAATTATTGGAGGGGGAGAAGATAGAAAAGGAGAAAAAATAAAGGTTAGTTTTTCATATATTGTGCGTTAATATTTAAATATGAAGTTGAACACCTTACACATTGCATCTTCTTTTCTTTGGAAAATAATAAAAACAAGACACTTCCAAAAACATAGGCTTCATATGCTACGTCAACTCTTATGTTACAATGTGTAAGCTTAAATGTAAAATGATGCTAGAGATCAAAGAAGGCCTGAGAAACAAAGACTGGAGGAAATTACATAATTTATACAACAAGTTTTCCATAATTCGTCACCTACAGCACTAATCCTTGGAGAGCTCACAAATGAAGAGAACCAGTTGGATAGGACATCACACACATGAAACTAAGATCCATAATAACAAGATCTAGAAACTTACATTTTTCTCTGTCGTTCCATCTCCTGTAATCGTTCTTCTTCCTCTTTTCGTTTCGAGCCAGGATCGTCCTCTTTTCTTTTCACTATAGAACGACCAAATCGATCAACACTGGGAGAGCGAGATCTACTTCTCGAATATCTCTTCTTCCTGCGTGGTGATCGAGAGCGGCGCCGAGGTGATCGATCCCGACTTTTTCTCTTGGTTGATGATGGCGTCGCGCTGGGAGAACGACTTCTCGTTCGCCGGCGATAACTGCGCTCTTTCTTGTGTTTCCGGCGCGGGCTGCCACTCTTACTTCTTGAACGTGATCTAGACTCACTCTTGGGCATTTTAAAGGTATTAAAAATATATCCAGGTGCTAATATGGCCTCTTTAGGAACTCATTGCAAAAACCCCTTCAACTTCACAAAGATGAGTAATTTACATGCTGTACCAAGCCCCTGCCTTTAGGGCAGGGTCCCCCCCTCATTGACCATCGAGGAGCGCAGTAATTTTACTTCACTCTGACCATAAAATGAAATTTTTTTAAAGTCAAAACTGAATTACATTACAATCACTCGTGAAATTCCTATTGTTTTGTAATACAACGCACGCGATTTTCAAAATTGTTTGATGAAAAATGTCCTATTTTCTTTGTTTTCCTCGTAAGTCCCGATGTTTTTGGTCAGCGAAAAGACCAACCATAGTTTCTGTGGTATAACAGACATATATTTCCCAAAGTTTTTAATCTAAGGGGGGTGGGGAGGAGAGGCTTAGTCAACACATAAACGAGGCAATTGTTGCCACAATGGTTGCTATGACAATGATTAGACGAAAATGGCGGACTCCTTCATGAAAATACTCAAGTAATCTCTATCACAAAAGACGTATAAAGACCATTTTTTTGCCTGATACGGTCTACGAATTAAAAATTCCTCAACTTTGTTATTCGAGGAAAGCCTTGCATAGATCCTTAACCAATGCAGGCCGTATTGTGAGGAGTTGAAAAAGTTTTTCAGCTGTGATTTTGTACATGTAGACTAGTGATCAAAATTTTTGTGCGTAAACAAATGGATTTGGACCGCGAAGATGCATCCAGTTTAAAGGGTGGCGCTTCTGATGTTACATCTGAAGCAGCTGGAGCAGTGATATTGGCGGAATCCTCATTAACGGTACCAGACGAGAACAAAAATGGAGAGTCAAATTCTTCATCTGAAAGTGGCTTGGAGGTTGATCGAGGCTCTGTCGGCAACGGTAGCAGAGGATCAGAGGGCGAAAGAGAGTTTGATCCTGCTGAAATGGTGAGAAGAATATCTCAGAAAACCTTGTTGTCCACAAGTAAATCAATTGCAATAGTTTTCCGAGGTGCATGAGCTCAATTTTAGACGCGCACACGTGTACAATTTGCAAAAAATTGCATCTAAGACGTACATGTTATTGAATTAGATCCCCATGCAAGCTATGTTATTTTACCTATCCAACGGTATTTTTTTACAGCCTGCTGAATGCATTCGTGTTTCTGCTCGATGATACGTAATAGCTGGAGCAAGTTAGATAATAAATGATCCATATCTATTTTTATTTCAAAATGTTTACTTACTCCAGATGCCCAAATGTCTTATTTGCAGGTCCCTCTCATTAAGGAAAGAGTCACTTTAAGTGCACTTAAATCCGACATGTGGAATGCAGAACATGATTCTACCATCATTAAATTCCTAAAAGACACTTCTGTTAGACTGCTGGTGGTTTATATTGACAAGCTGTTAGGATTACAAGTTGGTTTGTCTGTTCCACCTCATCCAGTGGAAGAAATGACTTTCATGATTAGGTTTGAAAATGCCACACTTAACCCTGATAATATTGAACGAAAATTGCAGTTTGGTACAATCAGAGCCAACCACATTGAAAGTCTTTTGAGGACAATGACCAATGTGTATGCTCCTCTGTTTTTTGGAAACAAATCCTGGCCAGACAGTATCCTTTTAAAAAATATCGTTATCTCTTCTCTATGTTGTAATTGAGCATTTAATTAGAGCTTCAGGTGGTTTTTGGAAAGTAGTCATAGCTGTTACAGATCTTTAACTATAGATTAGGTATCAAAAATGACTTCTCTGCACAGCTGCACAAGTTCATGGCTAATCTCACAGACACACGCTATAAGATGCAAGGCAAGACAGTGTTATATGTCCCAAATGAGGGAACAAAACTGCCTGTGGAGGATGCTTCCAAGAGTAAAGAATTTGTTCAGCGTTTAGAAAGTAAGAAATATTAAGCAAAGTATGTGTTTACTTAATATTGTTAGTTAAATTTAAGTGTCTATCCCAGCTTGTTCAGCAATGCAGTGAGGCAAAATACTCTTAGTGTTAATCCTTTTCAATTACTTCCTTTTCACCCCTCAACTCCAAAAAGTGATTAACATGTAACTTTTCCCTATTATATCCGTACATTATCCCACGAACATGTAATGATAAAACTCAAACTTACCAGATAAAGTTGTCTTGATCTAACACCAATTTCTCATAACTAATTCAAAAGGAAATGTGTAGCAGCTAGATGGGAGAATTAACAATCAGATCTTGGGTGTAACATGGTTACATAAAGTATGCCCAAAAGATTGTTATTTAAGGCCTGATTGCATATGTTCCAATTAAAAAAGTATATATTACATCATGTTGATTTGATTGGAAACATTGAAATTAAGTAATTACTGTCAAGGCTAATTTTAACTGTGAAGATTTAAATTAAATTTTAAATCCCATTTGACCAAAGTTCAAGCTTGTAATAAAGATAATTCTATCTGAATTACCTCGGAAGATGTTTATATGCATTAATTTTGTAGCCTTTATTATGTCTACATGTATCTTTATAGTTTATAAAAGTTCCACAAAAGAAGCAAGCAAATCATGGTGGAGTCTGCCACAGAGATTTTCTGGTTTTATTTTCTATCATAATGATGAAACAAAGACTTGGTTCAGAAATAAAACATGTGGAACTACTTTTTTAACCCTTCACTCGCATGAGTGATCAAGAAAGAATTTCTCCTTACAATATCAATACAATATCAAGCAGACAAGTGATGAGAATAAGGAAAATACCAACAAAGGGATTATCACTGGTGGTTGATCCAACACCAAATTCTCCAAATTAACATCATTTGAAATGTATGGCAGACAGTAAGGAGATTTACCTTAGAGATCTAGGAGTGAAAAGGTTAAATGGACCTTTTATTGTCAGTGACTGCCTTGTCCAGTGTGATTGTACTGAAATACATAATTGCTTTTTTGCCATTTATTTTTAGCTGCCATGATCCACTGGACAAGACAAATAAAAGAGGTGCTTAGTAGTCAAGACACATTTGAAGCAGCAGAAAATTCAGGACCACTAGAAGAGATTGAGTTCTGGCGCAGTCGCTGTGCTGATCTGTCAGGAATCAGTGACCAGCTGGACAAGCCAGGAGTGAAGAGAATACAGTCAATTTTGGAGCACTCTAAGAGTTCTTATGTTGCTCCATTTCTTAAGCTCTCAAAGTTGATTCAGGTCAGTCTGCCTATTGAACTATCTGTCGGTCCAGAGTTGTTAGTATAAAAGCAAGTAAAAGGTGAAAACCATGATTGGCTAGTCTGTCATCTTTAGCCTGCTACTTTTACCTCATTTATCACCATAATTGCTGATAAAAAAATTTACAGTGATGGAAAGGAAATTTGCAGAGTAGCCATTTGCCTGCTCTAGGTGGAATTCATAATTTGCCAATAACAGATTTCAAAGTGTGAGTCAATCCCATGTGTAGAAATTACTTGAGGGCTCATGTGAGCTGCTTGCCACTAGGACATTTCTTTATTGAATAGCTCTCACTGTTGCCTCTATGACAACATCTCTGCTCACATCTTTTTAGTTTCCTTCCCCTCTCAAACTTATTGACAGTCCTTTCTGTCTTTCTGTTTGTCTGCAATTCAGTTTGTCAGTCAGTTAGTCTGTCTCAGGTTTGTTGGTGGCGCACAGTAACAGACTGATTTCAGTCACCAACAATATGCAAAGTTAAGTGTGGTATGTAAAGAGCTAGAATATTATAAATTATTGTACATCTCTTATGTAGTGTAACATTTTGATTTTGTCCAAAAGGATGGTTCTGCCCAAGCCCAGAGTAATCTTAAGTTCCTGTCCACGCTGAAGGGACCATGTGAAGATCTTGCTCAGGCCCAACCTAAGGACATTCCAGGGATGTTGCCAAAGATCCTCAACATAATTCGTATTATATGGATGAACTCTGAACATTACAAGAGTAGAGAAAGACTCACTGGTTTACTGAGAAAGGTAGGAATCAGTGGAAGAGTGTGAGTAAATAGCAAACAGTGTACAGCTGAGGGATGAAACTTAATAGAGAGTAAATGTAGAGATAAAAAAATACTAGGCTTGATGTCAAGTGTATGAATGTGTTTTAGTCATTTCATCCCATGAATGTCTGTATGGTAAAGGTCAAGGTCAAGTTTTTACTCAGGCCAAGTAACCCACCCAGTAGGAGCTTATCCTGGTTTTCTTAGCATGAAGAAACTTGAAGTATCACTACTTCTCCCTGGATTGGGGGCCAGTCCATTGCAAGGTTACCCCCTATATTATTTCATCAGACCTCCCTGACAATTTGCCGGTACTCATTTGGGAAAGGTATTCCGTATTGTAGTGTTCCACTATTGCATAGCTTTCCTGTTGTTGTGTCAGGGAAATGGGATAAAATGGTGGGGGTGACTTGCAGTGGATTAGTGGATTAGCATCCTGTCCAGGGGGGAGTAGCAAATTACTCCTGGTTGCTTTATGCTACAGAAACTGGGATGAACTCCGCCTGGATGGGCCGTGTGGATTGATAGCTGACTTCACCTAGATTACTTTTCACAATATTCTGACAGTGTATGAGAAAAACGAGCTCACATAACAACAGTGATGTGAGGTGCATTCTTCATTATTTTGATTCTTTTGCTGGGCTGTTAATGCTCTTGGTATATTAAGTTAATATGTTTTGATCTTTCACTGGTTGAGAATTGACCAATAATACTTGTTTGCCTTCTCAGGTTAGTAATGAGATCATCAAAAGGTGTAGTACCAAAATCTCACTTGATGATATCTTTGAGGGTAGGATCAAGACAAGTATGCAAGGACTACAGGAGAGCATTGAGTGTTGTGAGTCATGGAAACACACCTACAGTAAGGTAAAGTTACTGTCAGTGGTATAATTAAAGTAGGGAGATATGAATGATGAAATGAAGTTATTTTTAACTGCACCAGTTTGCAGAGTATGGCAAATGAGATCTTGTATGTGTAGAGCCATTTTAAGCTTTGTGCATCGCATAGAGTACAACCAAGAGTCCACTGAACTCACATATGTACGTGATGTAGATGCTGGGAAATTGATAGTTTTAAAAAGAATTTGTGCTATTTGATACTCTGCAGACTGGTAAATGGAAATTAATCAATAATTATTAGTCCTGTAGATGATTTAGAAGATAAACATGATGCTCAAAGCTTTATTCAATTGAAAGAAACAGTAAAAAACAAGGTACTGCATTTCCTCTAAAAAGCACCTATGTTCTAATAAGCACCCACCCTTAAGGCCATAATGTCAAGTAAGTGCCCCTTTGAATAAACAAGGGCTTCCCCTCCTCTCTCAGTTTTTTTAAATTGAAGGGATGCAACCTGTTCTTATTGCAACTTTCTTTGTAACTGTTTGAGCTTTAACTATAGCTGTATCAATACAGGAGAATGATAAGTGCCCTCCTTCAAATGAGGGCGCCTCCTTTTTAGCTGAAATATTAAATAAGCACACAGGCGCTGATCAATGAATTTGAATGTAAGCCTGCAAGATACCATTTTGGGGCTACTATCTGAGCTGAGAAGTCATGTGTTGGAAGCAACATGGGTTTCCTATCTACAAGAGCAGGACAAAAATTATTGCTAGCCATAATTGTTATTACAGAAGAGAAGACTTTTTTTAACTTTTTGGTCTGCTAATTGTTTTAGCATTTAACTTTAATTGCTTACAGATCAGTAGAATGCATTCCAAGTTGTCAAGTGAGAAATGGATTCTTGACCAGAGTAGCATTTTTGCCCAAGTGGATGCTTTTGTGCAGAGGTGTAAAGATCTCTTGGAGGTATTGTGGTGTGCATTGTCAGTTGCAATTCATTGAGCAAAATTAATATGAATTGAAAGTAATAGATTAGTATAGGAAGAAGTATAAAAAGCTCTTAGAATTAATCTCCACTGACAGTAGGATTAGGGAACAGAAAAAAAATCGTGGTATTCAATAGATACAACACCAGTAAAGAACAATTAATTAAACTGAGGAAAAATTTGAACCAAAATGTATTAATGTCATACTTAGAGTACAATACTAAATGTATTGCAGTTTGTTAATTCCTTTTAGTGCAAATGAAATTCTCGATAAATGTGTGAATTCTGCAGGTATGTGAAGGGCAAATCCACTTTGCAAGAATGTATGATGGCGAAAAAAGTCCCCTACCTTGCTTCCATGGTGTACGAGGACCTGAGGTGGTCAGAAGCTTATTGGAGATTGAGGCAACATTTGAGAAGAATCTGCAAATCCTTAAAGATGTCAAGAAAACTATTTTAGATGTTAAGGTAGGAACAAAATAACACAATGTTTGATTTGACATTTGTGATCCTTGCAGTATGTGAGTATGGTATAGCATGTGAATTCTGGGGTGGGTACCAGGGTCTTCCAGATTTTTTGCTGCATATGTGCTGCTGGCTTCTCAGAATCCCAACCCTAGTATAGCTATTTGTTGGCCTATTATAGACAATCTTTGACACTTTTTTGGTTATACAGGGACAACCTTTCAACTGCAAATCATCCATGTTTAAATCCCTACAAACCAAAATTTCTCACCTCCAAAATCCTGAAAATGTAAGCCTCCATTCAAGCAACTCTTGACAGTGCAACCCTGTTGTAGTCAATCCAGTCATGAAAATGTGACCCCATCCAATGGCACATCCCTATTGGCCTGTAATTGTGAAGAACCATCCTTACCCCTCAGGACATGAACCAACTTATAGAAAAACTTACAGCAAGTTCTCTGTCACTCAGAGGTAGAGTGTCAGATAATGAAACCCAAAGGTCTAACCTGAGATTGCTCATTTGAGACTCAGATTTTTTCTAGGTCTTATGCTCAAAGTGAATGAATATCATCATAACATTATTTGCACTGTTACATAGAGAGACAATTTTTTTTCTGCATCTAAGACAGTTTGTAGAAAAGCCTTCTGTAGGTCTTACACATCTGTGTTGAGGTACATAGGTGTCTTAAGGTTGCTAATTTTTATGTCCCTCTCTTAATTAAATTAATTTAATTTAATGTCTTTCTTATCAGGCAACAACTTGGCATGATGATTACAACAGATTCCGTGCTGGTGTAAAAGATTTGGAAGTGATGGTTCAGAATTTGATGTCCTCTGCATTTGAAACAATAACAACTGTCCAAGAAGGTGTAGAAATTTTGGACATATTCCAACATTTGTCATCAAGAGAGGTAAAATCATCATTTCCTCATTCATTGCATTATCAATTGAAGACACTAATTTACTTCAAATATATCTTTCTTGCCACAAAGACTTTAAAAATCCCCCCTGAAGGTTTGTTAATTTCCAAGGCCTCTAAATGAAGGAGGGCTCTTTGACCCTTTAATCCCTATGAGTGACTCACATCTTATTTCTCCCTGCAATTTTACCCCTGAGTCACACATTAAGGTCACAAGAATAAAGGAAATGATCACCAACTAAAGAAGTTCTTGATTGTTAAACAAGTTCTCCTTGTCAACAACTCAGGAAACATGTAAAGAACAGTATGGAGAATATACATATTAATGTTAGAGTGTAAAGGGTTAAGAGGGACGCCTGTAGGGGGCTCATTTAGAACTTGATGAAGGCAGAAATGTGAGTCATTTCTTGCTTGTGAGTTGTTTCCCAGATTAACAAGGCTGTGTTTCTTTGAAGGCTCAAAGAGTGGAACTTGTTCGAGAGGGTAGGTTTTAAAAAGGGGGAGGCCTTATAGAGAAGTGGGCACATTACAGCAGAGGTCTTATATAAAGTGTTCTCTGTATGTTGTACTTCAGGCCATCAGACGTACAATTGACAAGAAGACAGTGGAAGTGTACCAGCTTTTCAATGAAGAACTAAACCTTGTAAAGAAAGAGTTCAATACCAAGACAGTGGACTTGCCACCTATGTATCCAATTTATGCAGGATCAGCAGCCTGGGCAAGAATGCTTAAAAGGAGGATAGATCGACCAATGAATGTAAGCTCCTTGTCTCCAACATGAAGCTTTTGTTTTAAATGGGGAGGGGTTAATAAGTGGATGGGATTCTAGTACATCACGGATAAACTGTGTCAAGATCTCCAATTTTCTTGCCAAGATCTTTGGTATTCTTGCCAAGATCTTCAAGGATCTTTTGCTTTCTTGCCAAGATCTTCAAGGATTTTCAAAATTCCTGTTAAGCTCTTTTAAGATGGTCAAAGATCTTGGAAAGAAAATGAAAGGTCCTTGAAATCTCAGCAGGAAAATGAAAGATCCTTGAAGATCTAGGTAAGAAAATGAAAGATCCTGGAAGATCTTAACAAGAATTTTGAAGATATTTATTCCAAAGTTTTTTCAAAGATCTTCATTATGTCAATAGCAATACAATTTTAAATGTAAATACATTACATATATTTGCTAAGAAAAAACATAGATATATTTAAAAATCTGTTGACTTTGATTGAAATAGGTAAGATTTATTTTGGCTGAAATATGGCAATAAAGAATTAAAGGCTGTTATTGAGAAATGTAAAAAATGGCAATGAAAAGACCTAGGAGATGGCTCCTTCAATAGTGTCAATATCAATATCAATAGGAAATTATCTTTTCTACTGTCAGAGTAGAAGCCATCATCTGATACAAATGATTCTGCTGTTTACTTCTGCCCACAAGTATACTGTCAAGATGTCAGTCTTCATCTTTGACAACAGTCCTTTCATAACTACTCCTACTTGGATGAATGTGTTGTATAATAAACTGTTACTCTAAGGTTCAAAGTATTATTAAGTTTTGGATTAATGTCTCTTTCTCCCCACAAGGAGTTGAAACAACTGTTTTTTTGTTGGTAATTTGCCTTTTTCTCACAGGTATTGAACAAGTCATTCTTCTTGCCACTGATCGGGACTGGAGAGGAAATCAGATCACAATACCAACAACTTGCTCAGGTACAATAGTTTAAAGCAGTACTGTACTTATTGACTGAGTGGGAGGGCCAGATGGTTAAAAAACCATCTGTGTGTGACATAGCTAGGAGTCAAATATTTTCCTGTGTTGCTCAACCTTTTTCAGTCAATAAGTTTTTTATCATTTGACTGCTGCTCTCTCTCTTCCTTATTTTTGTTGTCCTTACTTTTAGTCTTCAGATCTTTACCTTAACCCTAGCTGTTAGAGCGAGTTGAAATCACCTTAATTCTCATCGCTTTTAATTTTTTGTTTATTGTGATGAAGGTTGTATTTGAAAGCTGCCTCTGGATATTGTGACTTAATTACACGAAGGAGCTTATTTTGACAGCACAAGTATTATGATAAACCTGCTCAATTCTTTGACTTTGCGTAAATTAAATGTTCTTCTTAACCCTTTAACTCCCAGGTGAAATTTGTAATTCTCCTTATTGTCAACCATACAATTCCTATAATTTTAGTTTAGAGAAGTTAGCATTGGATCAACTAATTATTCCCAAATTGATATTTTTCTATATTCTCGTCACTTATCTGCTTGATGTTGTATTGATATTGTAAGGAGAAATTCTGTCTTCTTGTTAACAGATAAACAGTGTAAACACACTCATCACCATTTGACTTCCGCCCATGTAGGCTCTTGATGAATTTGTTAGAAAGACTTTCAATGAATGGACTTCCACCGTTGACAAGGAGGCTACTAGACTGTTAGAGATTCCTCTCATGAGACGTAGCTCGGACAGATCTGGGACACTTGACCTTAATTTTGACAGGTTAGTAAATTGCTCATTAAAAGAATGACTGGAGGAAGGTTTTATTTGACTTTCAATACAAAATAAAATTGGTGCGATTCATCATGAAATACGTGATAATTTGGAGGGATAGTTAAATCAGGAGTATGTCAGTCACCTTGGATCCTTTTTTTCCATCCATCTTTCAATCGATGGAGTGAAGAGGAAAACATCTTTTTAGAAAAAGTTCCTTTTCCATTCTTATGCTTCCAGCGTCAGATCTCTTCTTCGAATAAGTGCTACATTATAGCAATTTTCAATTGGGTGTATAGAGAAATCTGGAATTACTTTTGTTTTGCGTCACTTTGACCTTTGATTGGTCTAGAAAACTTGTGCCATCCTCTCAAGTAATTAGATGTAAACCTAAAAATAATCATGGCTTGGTAGCTCACGTTTTTCCGCGCATAAGACAGTTTGATCAGTTTAACTTTGAGTTCTCTCTGGGTTTAAAGGGTGTTATAACATAGCTAGTAAATTTGTCTGATCAAATTCAATTGCGCGAGCGTGCTTCATATTCCTATTGTGCACGCTCATGACGTCAGCAAACAAATCCCTCGAGAGAAACAATTTTTCCTACGAAAGATGCGTAAGAGTTGCTCGAGGCGTAGCCGAGAGCAACTCTAGCTTCTTGAGTGCTCTCCAAACTTTCCGCATGCTTCATATCTCGATGAACGCACAGCTGACGTATGAACCAATTGTTAATTTTTCTTTTCTTCTGAATGGCTGTTGTGATTACTTTGGTTTTAGTTTTACAACAGTCAATCTGAAAGCCCTTTATTTTATATCTGTCTTTTAATTTCTAATAATGTCATTTGTTGTTATTTTCAGGAACCTTCTGAAGTTGTTCAACGAAATCCATTACTGGGAGAAATTGATGTTTGAGACTCCTCACTACGTCTCTGAGCTTTACATGAAGAAGGAAGATCTACGAATTCTTAGGGAAAATGTCTTGCTTGTTGTCCGTGACTACAACAGGTTTGTGCTAATGATGAATAATATGGCCAACATTGGTTTTGGTGTTAAATGCCTTACAGTATTACAGTAACTGTTCCTCTGGCATGAGATATTAGCTTGCCTCATTGCGAGGTACTGTAATGTTTAGAGTTTGGATTTGGTACATAAGTGCTTGTTACCTCAATGTGCTCCTATAAGTAAATGCATCCTATGTTCAAAAGTATATGTAACAAAGAAATTGTCAAAAGTTGCCCCTGAAGAAGAAGGGTTATGGGAATTTTCTCTCTATCGTCCTTATCATTTACTGGTGGCCGTGATATTTCTATTTGCTGTCAGGAAATTGTTGTTTATACATTACTTTAACTTGGCATTGTTGCTTGTTTGGCAGGATCATAGCAGTTTTGTCATCTGAAGAACGTGGTTTGTTCAGAGAGAGAATCAGATCACTGGACAAAAAGATTCACCCTGGCCTTACCAAGTTAACTTGGGCTTCAAAGGGAATCTCAGATTACTTCATTGGAGAGTGCAGGAATAACTGCAGCAAGGTACATGTACTCTTGATTTACAGTACCAATCTTTGTTAGAAGCAAGCTGCAAATGGTGCTATAAAACATGGTTTCAATCGTTACTTAAGCAAAGATTGACAAGAGATAAGAGCGATTTTCAACTGAGTGACAAGGAGTCCAGGATTTTATTGTTTGTGTTTTACTCTTCCCAATTATTGGTTGGATGACTTGCTTTGTTAAAATAGAAATTCACCAATTTTTTCCCAATTGGTCTCCAACCATCCCAGATGATCAGGGATGTCTAATTTCGTTGTTTGAAGCAGCTTGTGAATGAGGTTATTTTAAAAAAGTCTAGTTTGTATATTTCCATGACAGACTAAAGCTATGTATTCGGAAAACGAAAAATTGATGTTGATTTTATCTCTGTGTTTTAACATCAGCATCTACAATTTAGAGTTACACAAGTCTGCTAATTATGGAATGGTTGAAGAACAGTAGGATGTGCCCTTGAGGTTTTATTCAACAAAGACATCTGTTCATAAAAACAGTAAATGTTACTTAAGTCATTAAATGTGCATTTGCATTTTGCAGGTTCAAGATATAGTGGATGACTACAAGAATGCCAACCTAACCATCTCCAAGAACTGCAAGAAGATCAGTGAGATGTTACTAGTCAAAATTGATGGCAAAAGAGTCTATGACAATCTTGAATTTGAAGAGGAACAGGTAAACCACGGGACGATTCTGGATATGATAAGGAGACTGCTTAGCTCTCTCTCAGTTGGTGGGTTTTTGAGCCAGTTCGTTGGGGCAGTAAGTCTATTAGTATGTCCATAGTTAGTTGGTCCAACCTTCCGTTGGTTGGTAGACTTTCAGTTCATTAGTCCATCTGCCTGTCCACTTGCTCATCTGTCAGTCGGTCGAATGCAATTAATCGAACAATCAATCAATCAAACAATCGATCAGTCAATATAATTAGGCCAAGTAATAGGTATGGTGCCTTCAGCGATTAGGTTAATGTTGGTGACTAGAAACAGCTGAAAACTTAAATAGACTAGTTCTACATACAACAACTGATCTTTCTTCGATTCCTTTCCAGAAAAATCACCGAAGCATTGTGCAGACAAGACTGCAGGTCACTCATATAGAGATTGTGAGCATCATGAAACAGACGTATGAAGTTTTCAAACATGATGGCCAAGAGGTAGGTATTGTGGATTGTCCTATTAGATGTGAAATGTTAAGATTTTTATTATGGCAAAAATTTGAAAGGTCCTAGCTGAGAATCCCAAACAACAGTTTGGTAAAGGTAACGCGAGCTTATTTTTAATTTTTAATTCTGTTTTATTTGGTAGGTGCAAGCTCATTGGTTGCGCTACACTGAGAAAATGGATCGTATGGCTGAAGAGGCATTCAGATTGAATGTAAAATGGTCATTGCAGGAACTGTCCAGAGCCATTAATGGAGATGGAAAGAGTGCTCCAAACCCGCTGCTCAGGGTCAAAGTTGTACTGGAAGGAGACAAGGTTTGAGGCGTACTTATTGTGGTCTTAAGGTTGACAGAGTTCTTTTGATTAGGGATTGGACCAGATGCTAATCATTTTGAGAGCGCATTTCGATTGAGCTTCTTAAACTAATATCAAAGTAATAACAACAGCCAATCAGAAAAAAATGTGAATATCACAACAAACCAATGAGAATTCAGAGTTAAACGAGCAAATTGTCAGAAGGGCGGGAAAACGCGAGTGACCCAATCACGATTGGTTTCAGTTTTGAATCTGATTGGTTGAGGAAGTGACACGACCAATCACAGTACAAAGTAATTCAAAACCAAAACAATCCCAAACTACTTTCGACACTCAAATGAAAAGTGTTCCGTCATTATCTTAAATATCCTTTAAATCTGTTTTTTTGTAACAACCAGGTGGAATTCTCACCAACATTGAAGAAGCTTGCTAGCATGATGGACAACATTGCAGTTCAGTTGACATCTTGTCTGTCAGTTTTCCAACGGCTCCCAGATATCCTTACCAAGAAACGTTCTGTTAAAGATGTAAGTGCAACAAGTTTTCTGAAAGACATAAATCACACAGTCACGGAAAATTTTCTATTTTGTTTCAAACTACCCATATAAATATAAATTAATAATATTTATACTTCAAAAAGTGGCGAAGAGGAAAAGGAAACTATAAATGGACCTTCAAGTTGGCAGCTGGTTAACTTTTGTGTGTCGTTTGCTTTGTTGCAGCGTGTCTGTGAGATAATTGAAAGGGACGAAGAGACAAAGAAAATCCAAGCCAGCATCAAAGCTGGAATGTCAGCAAACGCCTCACATCTGCAGTCATACCTCAGCACATGGGATAGGTATGAATCATTAGAGCGATTTTAATTGGTCCAGAAAATTAGGGTCACTCTCTCAACCAATTAGATGCAAACCCAACACCAATCCCGACTTGGTCGCCCGCGTTTTTCCGCGCCTTAGGCAGTTTCCTCTTTTTTTCGAGTTCTCATTGGCTCCTTGTGATATTTTTCTTACCTGTGATTGGCTGCGGTGAAAGTTTTGGTTTTGGTTTTAACAACACTCACTCAAAAAGCGCTTTATTAGTTTTAACTAATGGGACTGAGAGGGGTCCAATTCTGTCTGAAATCAAACTAATGATGAAGAAAGTAAGACAAACGCGAAGCGAAATTAACGAATTGGTATCCACAGGACGACACACGATTGCCAGTTAATCAAGTTAATCAGAATCAGTTCATCAAAACTAAGCCAAAATTTATCGTCGTGCATAAGTGCTAGTGCAAGCATGATGCGCACACTGTTCTATTACTGCTCAAATCGATATGTTAATAGCCATCATGTTCGAAAATTTTGTTACAGTTCTAATTAAGGGGAAAAGAGGACATAAACCAAAGGGATATTCTTTGAAATAACGCAATTTTATAGTAGAACCTCCATTCTTGAGCAGAAGTGCCCCTAAAATGAAGGCAACAGATGGCAAGGCTTTATGGGCATTTTTCTCATTCATGCTTCTTAAACTCGATGGAAATTCCTTTGTTTTCTTGTTTCGAGTGTCTCGAAACTCGACTCGAGCCTGGATCCTCAATCCTCGAGGTTTTTCGAAAATTGAGGATCATGAATTGGGGAACGAGGATCGAGTTTCGAGGGACTGTCAACTTACTTTTGAGCGGCACTATTCATCATCATCGTCACCTACCAAAGTTGTACTTGACGCTTCGTGACGTATAGTGAATCAGTAATTGCCATTTTAAACGACTGATTGAAGCCCATTGATGTTTAGTTACCGAGAAATCTGGGAGATTCAGAAGGATGCCTTCATTAGGAGATACCAAAGGCTGAACCCACCGGTCTCCTCGTTTGATGCTGACATCTACAGGTTTGTGAGTCTATAATCGCTACTGGGACTCTTCTAGTCTAAACTTTAACCCTTTACTCCCAAATATCTGAATGCACATTCTCCATACTGTTCTTTAAGCACCTCCCAAGGTGCCGGTAAGGAGAATTTGTTTAACGTTCAAGAGTTTCTATTGTTAGTGATCATTTCCCATGACCTTTATGTTTGATTCAGGAGTAATATTGTAAGAAGAAATATGATGCTCGTCACTCTTAGGTGTTAAAGGGTTTAAGTGCTATTTCTTCACTCAAACTACTCGACAATGTTAATAGGACTGTTGTTTTAGTAAAACTAGCTGTAATCCGATTTGATCTTGTTAAGTTGTTGGTCATCCATGCTCCATGCTAGCTCTACTATGTTTCCTTCATTATCTACGCTTTTAACCATTTTATTGTTATTTAAGCGAATTCTATAGCCATAACAGCCTGGAGTTGCCTGACATATTCCTTTTGAACATGAGCAGTTAATCAATTTTTTTGAAACTCTCTAGGTACACAGAAATTGCCAATAACTTCCAGAAAGAGGAGACAGTGCTCAATATTGATTTTGTGCTCTTGGACAACTCGCCGCTGAAGTTCGCTCTTTTGAGCCATTGCAATGAATGGCAGAACAAGTTTACTACTCTTCTGCGTGAAATGGGAAGCCAAAAACTGCTGGAACTGCACAACTTCTTAAAGGACAATGCCAAAAAGTAAGTAGAAATTACCATAAATGTTTTGATTCCATGCAGTTTAAGGTGGTTGTTTGTGTAAAAAAAAAAGGATGGGGTATAAATATTATAAGACACCTGTGTATACTCAAAATAAACTAGAAAACTAGTGAAAGTCAGTTATGGGGTCGGAATTGGTTCTAGCTTTCTATTTTCTCCGTTGGGAGGATTGCAAGAGTTTTTGACCCCTTAAAGAGAAGACTGACGAATGAATAATAATATTTTGAAATTTTGACGCTTAACTGACAACTACTCTTTGATTATTACTTACTTGTGGTGCATTTTATATCATCTTAACAGGCTCAGTGCTCCTCCAGAAACCTTAGATCAGTTGGGTGATAGTCTGGCTCTGCTGGAACAACTCCAACAAGATTTGCCAAACATCGAGGCCAAGTTTCCACCTCTGCATCAACAATTTGCCATTCTTGAGAAGTACGAAGTTGCTATTCCGGAGGAGGTACGATAATTTTATCACTTGTTTAAAAGTCAAACCCTGCTTTGATTTCTTTGATGTTTTCTTTCTTTTAAACAAGGAATAAACGCGTTGTATTTGTAACGAGCGAAAGGTTCTGGGTAATCACTGTATAAATGAAACTTCTGTGCTGTACTATTTATTTACGCTGTACAAAATGGTTCTAATTTTTGGTTGGATGGATCAAAGACTGTGCAACCTCTTGAATGAAACCCTTTGAGCATTTCGTTCGTTTTAGTTTCTTTCATCAGAATCCAGATAATGTGTAGGCTGTTTCTCTTAAATGTGACCATGTTGTTTATAATCTCTTAACCTTCCTTTCCTTTACGTAAGATGTTTTTTTGTCTTGTAACAAGCATGGGAAAATAACATATTTTGAGATTTTGAGTCCGCATGAGGAGTCAAACTTAGACCATCGGATTTTGGGCTCCGCCGATGCTTTGCCATTGAGCTACAGAGACTCTATGGAGAGCAAGGCTATTGCTCAGTTTATATCATGAGACACGTGCTTTGCATAGTGCTAGGATTAGCAAAGTCAAAACGTTTTGTTTTAATGTACATGTATGGGAAAAATGTAATTTAACTTTAAGGGCGACTAAATAGCTAACTATATTATGCCCTTCTCCATTTTCTTTCCTCTTTGTAATCACTATAAAGAAGTTTGTCTTTGTTGAAATAGAGGGAAAAAAAGGAACAAATAAAACAGAATAAGAAAGATGGTTATTGTTCCACTCTTTCCCCCTTTTTCCTTCTTTGCAAAACAGTTGCCTCTTCCGCATACAAGAACTGAACTTTCATGCTTTTATTTGTTGGCTTTCCCGCAGGTACAACAGATGCTCGATCAGCTGAGTGGCGAGTGGGTGTCCTTCCAGCAGTGCTTGATCGACAGTGATGCTATGCTGAAGAAAAGCAAGGAGAAGTTCAAAACAGGGCTGATTCATTCTTCAGAAGACTTTAAGAAAACTGTCTCAACACTGTTTGATGATTTCCAGAACAAAGGTCCATTCAGCAGCTCTACCTCTGTAAAAGAGGTTCGTATATGTGTAGCTTTTGTTTAGCTGTGAAGGAAGATCTTTAAATCATCACCACTTAACATAAATTAACGGGCCTTAAGCCATATTTTAAAATCAAAAGTTAAAGATTAGAGGAGCAGGTCCATAAGTTTTCTTTCCTTAGCTTGTAGTTTTATTGTATAATTTTCAAAACTTTTGAAATCCTGATCTTGAATGAAAGCCGAAGAGCTTTACTGCTAGACCTCTATTTTGTGTTTTCTTGCCGCAATTGTCCTTCTTCAGGAGGTTCTGTGAGTATTGATTAGACTCCATTTATTATCAGACCCGAAGCAGTCCTTCTTTCCAAATAGTGTTTACCGCACGATTAAAAAGTCTGCGAAAACAAAACAAAACCTAGTGCCTGAAAAATCTCTGCCCTTTTCCGTTTAACCGTGTGACTATAGTGTAGTGAATTGAGGCAGAAAATACCATGACCATTGTATTTTTATAGTCATGCCGCATGGTCATAACTTCAGTGCGCGTATAATGAATGCAATATTTTTGTCTTAGGCTTTGGAGGAGGTCAAAATGTACCACGAACAAGTCACTAACTTAAAGACACAAGAAAACAAACTGAGACGAGGATTAAACATCTTCAAGATTGAGCAGCCTCCGTCGAAGGATCTGCAAGGGCTGGAGAAAGATCTGGAATACTTGGAGCAGGTTTGGACCATCACAAAGGAATGGGAAGACCTGTGGGATGCTTGGAAAGTTGGCAAATTCGAAGAGCTGGTAACCACCGATATGGAGACTACGTCGCAGTTGTTGTTCAAGAGGTTGAACAAGCTGGTTCGAGAAGTAAAGGTAAGGGTAATTTGAATTCGCTCACATGCGATTGGTCTCGATACATCATGTGACCCGTTATGTCCCCGTTAAAGCTAGGGAATATTTAGTGATATCCCCAACTCGAAGCCTTTTCCCTAAGTTTTCCCTAAGCTCCGCTCTCTGAAACTCGCGGTGCAGGTAATCTTAGGGGACAAATATCCGAGAATATTTTCGTGCCAATTGGAGGCTATTGTTAAGTAATATATGTAATCCTAATTTGTGGTTTTGGGAGCAGATAGGAGCTGTGCTGAGAGATAAATCTGTGGAAAAATAGGAATTGGACACTTCACAGATTATAGGTTGATGAAAATGTGACCTATAACTGCTATTTCTCTCGTCTACTCCTCAAATGTATCGTTATTTTTCCCTACAGGACAAAAACTGGGACATTTGTGACTCCATCAAGTCTCGTATCGAGCAGTTCAAGCGCACCATGCCATTGATCCAAGATTTGAAGAACCCAGCTATGAGAGACAGACACTGGGCACAAATCAAGTCTGAGGTTCAAAAGCCTTTTGATCAGAATGGTAAGTTAATTAATCTTATTACCTACTTTTTCTTCTCATCGCCTAGGAATGGAGCAATTTTGAATCGAGTGTCGAAAGTTATCCGGAATTGCTTTGGTTTTGACTTAATTTTGCTCTGTGATTGGTCAATCAAATGAAAAGCTAGAAACGATAGCAACTTGGTCTTGCGCGTTTTCCCGCGCTTCAAGTAGTTTTCTTGTTTTCACTTTGAGTTCTCATTGGCTAATGAGAATGTAAAGCTTTGTTCTGATTGGTCGCTGGGATTACCTTGGTTTTGGTTTTTCGACACTCAATAGAAAAATTAAAACTTTGAGGGTTTTTTGAGTATGGGTTGAAGCCCTTGATTTGTCAAGGTTTCTCTCTTGGCGCGCGCGCGCTGGATGCGTGACGTGTAGTTTCACTGTGACAAGAATTACGTGAGCAATAGAAACACGCAGAGTCCGTTAGAGTAAGAAGCAAAAATGATCGAAAGCTATCCGAGATTACTTTGAGTTTGCTTTAATTAATGCGCACTGTGATTGATCTAGAACACTTGCACTGCCTTCTCAACAGACCAAGTGCAAATCAAAAACCAGTCGCGATTTTTGTCATTGCGATTTTCCAGCGCTTTAGGCAGTTTGGTTTCACTTCAAGTTCTCATTTGCTTCATTGTAAATTATATTTGGTCTGACTGAGTACTTGGTTTTTTTTTATGCGTCACTCGGTCGCCAAGCGCTGTAGCTTCAACTTATGTTAAAACTCCAGGTAGCCTGATATCCGTGTTGTTTTGTTTTTCAGCTGATGATTTTACTCTTGAGAAGATCATTGAACTTGGATTGGATCAGTTTGCTGAGCAGATCAGTGAAGTCTCCGCTGCTGCAAGCAAGGAGTTGTCCATAGAACAAGTATGAATTTCTTTTTATGTGTTGGGAATGTTTATGTGTCGCCCCCGTGTGGTAATGTGGTGGAAGTCCATGTGTCCTAAACGGTTGTATAACGGGAATTATAATACGTTGCATTATTTCACTTTTGAGCTTTTGAGAACCAAAGGTATATTCTACATGCTTAGGAGCGCCTTCCTATGTTAACGTTTCTGCGACAATTATTTTTTTTTGTCAGGCTATTACAGGCATTGCTGAGAGCTGGGAGCAAATTACCTTGGATATTGGACCGTACAAGGATCGCGGTCATTTCAGACTCAAGTACGAATTTACGATAACTTTAGATAGAAAACAAACGAAAATGAATTAAAAAGTGTTTCGTTTATCAGCACATTTTTGTGTAGGATGAACTTCGTGATAGCTTTATCCTATCAACAGTTGAGATTTTTTAATTTTGTAAATAGATGTCATCTGTTTTGGTTGAAATTTTGTTTCGTCAACTAGGATCTGTTGTTATCGATATATTCATACCACTGATCGAGGGTTACTTGACCTATTTTTATACTAATTGCGGTTTTATTTTCAACAAAATTCTAAGTTTTTTCCTCTGGTCTTCAGGGCAACAGACGAAGTCTTTCAACAGCTGGAAGATAACCAAGTTACTCTGTCCACCATGAAGGCTTCGCGATATGTCAAGGCTTTTGAAGTAGAGGTAAGATATATGAAAGTTCGAGTAGTTTTAACAGGATTGTTG